GGTCGGGTAGGAGGAGAGAGAGAGAGAGAGAGAGAGGGACTGTGTGTGTGTGTGTGTGTGTGTCATCACAAAGTGGCCATGTTTAGGGTCGATGGTGTCCACGCTCTTTTCTCTTACCCTCTGCCAGTTTTGAGCCTGAGCTGAAGAGAACGATAGTAAGAGCGAGAGAGGGAGATACAGGGACATGGATTTCGACGAACACGATGAAGGAATAGAGGAGATGGCCTTGCCGGTGGGATCGAGTGACCACACCGTCACGGGGAATTCTGATCTAGGAGGAGGAGGAGGAGCTAAGATGGGCGGAGGAGGGGAATCGGCGTCGGCGACGGCCGGGATGGCGATGAGAGGGTCGGGGCACCGCAAGACGTACGGTGGCAGAGGCGGGCGAGGGAAGTACCGGGAGTGCCTGAAGAACCACGCCGTGGGAATCGGGGGGCACGCGGTGGACGGGTGCGGGGAGTTTATGACGGCGGGGGAGGAGGGGACACTCGACGCGCTCCGTTGCGCTGCATGCGGCTGCCACCGGAACTTCCACCGGAGGGAGGAGGAGGGAGGAGGAGCTGGTGGAGGCGCGACGGAGGTCATCGGGTACCACCCCCAGTTCTCGCCCTACAACCGCGCGCCGGGAGGGTACTTCCACCCCCACCACTCCACTGCCGCGGCACTCGCGTCGCCGCAGCAGCACAGGCCGGCACCGCTGGCGCTGCCGTCGGCGCGGGGCGGCGGAGGGCACAGCAGGGACGAGCAGGAGGAGACGCCGATCCCGATGGTGGGCGTCGGCGGCGGAGTCGGAAGAAGAGGAGGCGTGGTGGCGAGGAAGAGGTTCCGGACCAAGTTCACGCAGGAGCAGAAGGAGAAGATGCTGGCTTTCGCAGAATGGCTGGGGTGGCGGATTCAGAGGCACGACGAGGCGGCGGTGCAGAAGTTCTGCGAGGAGACGTGCGTCAAGCGGCACGCCCTCAAGGTGTGGATGCACAACAACAAGCACACCCTCGGTAAGAAACATTAAAGAGACACAAGAGGATCGAGTCAGGGGAAGTTTGTTCCATCGTCTTCGTCTCCTCTTGTAGCCCTCTAACAATTGTCTTCCCGTTTTGCTGTTGGCTCCCAAATGAAACGCTTGGAAGAGCGGAGGTGACAACATAGAAGAATTAGAAATAAACAAGCAACTTTCGGATTCAAACTCCTCACTGCTGCTGGTTTCCTGTTTCGTTTGTTTCTGTTCTTTCGAGCTTTTCTTGTAATCTCGGTGCTCACCAGTTAAGAACGACCAGAGAGTCGCTTCACGAACCCGTGAAACGTGTCCGCCATGCAACGCAGTAGATGTATCTTGTATTAAAAGATTAAACATTAGGAGTTGAGGTTGTCAGGAGCTGCTCCAGTCCAAGTGTTATCGTGTGGAACGAATAAGATTATTTCCTCTCTCACTCTCTATCTCTAACATTAGGACTTGGATGGCATTGATTTGCACTGCCAATGCCATCCAAGTCTCGAAGGACCAAAGAAGACAGAGGAGGATGGGTGCGATATTGGGGAGATTCGGAGAGTACGACTGAGGCTGTGATGGGCCGTGCATGGCTTCTTCCCTGTGATGGACGTTTGCATTTTTGTCATCTATAGATCTGTCACAATTAAAGTCCAAAATCACATATATCATATAATAATAAGAGCAGAGTATCATTGCACCCAAAAGTAAAAGCTTACTGACACCAATCTTATACATCGGATCTTTGTGTCTCCGAATCTTAAAGCACGAAGGTGTGAATCTTGATCATCGTTTATTGCGAATATTATTAATTAAGCCACTGCTGCATCACAATCTGGCCCATTAGATATAGGGACGAATTGTCATGTTATAAACGAATTATTGGTGGCAGAAATATACTTACCGATAAGTTTCTGCCAGTTATGAATGGGAGGAGACAAGGATGAGTGCAGCTCTTTGGATTTCTGAGCGAAGCGTTGAACACACTTCGAGAAAGCTTCAGATGGTAAGACCTGCGTCCAAATACAGATGAGTTAATGGTTCGTTTAAAGCACAAATAGTGAACGAAGTTAAAGACGTCATTCATCGATGCTTTTATCTGTCTGGATAATAAACAATGGTGATACTAAAAGTAGATGTCTCAATGACTAAACAAACACTGACCTTAGCAGGCAAGAGAGGCAGTCCGCAGGCTATTATATCTGATAATGCAATGACAATTGCTAAATAATTGTTGATGGCAAAACTCAGAACTTCATCAAAGCTGTACTCAGATAAATAGAAACAGCACAATAATTAAACGTAGAGGATATACTCCTGCGGGGTCTGAGGAGCATCAATGTACGTAATCTTATTTTTAAATATTTAAAGAGATTATTTTCTTGACTTGAACTCTGATCGGTAAAGAAATAATCTTACCATTGTATCAAAACCCGTCCTCAATAATAATCAAACATCGGGATTACATGAAAATTTCAATCTATTTTAGAAGCCTTTTGACATGTTGGACAGTAGTAGACGAGAATTTAGAAGGAATTTGAAAAACTACTTAATCGTTTTAAGCTATATGAACTTTAATCAATTGTCTCAAGAGATCCAAGAGATGGAGGAAAATATGCTGATCCAGATCGTGGATACACCAATGGTCACAACAGAATCCCACGGGGATTCCTGGTGTTCCCTTGCTAGAGCATTTGATTGAAACCTGGACATCATAGCCATTATTGTTATGGTCGTGCCACCTCTACATCACGCAAAGCTTCCTGTAGAATCTTTACAGCACTATCGTAGTTTAAGAATCCCATAAACCAAAATTCATGGTTGTCTGTGGAAACAACTTGAATATATTTTTCTGCAGACTTCATTCTGTTTACTGAAGGGTTAACTGCTCTGAGCTGATTCAAAGGAACAACTACCTGCTCATAATCCAACAAAAACATATGTAAGTTATGGATCATTGTATGCTTAAAACAAAGACAGCCGTTTCAATGTGTGACAAGAAGAGTGAATTAAAAAGCTTTAACACTGGAGAATACCATCATTTTAAAGGTTTAAGAGTCAGGCAGAAGAATCAATCAACATGATAAACAAAGAAATGGCTTGGTGATAAAGTTATATGGTAGAAATGAAGAATAGTTGAAACAAATTCCAAAAATTGAACTTCACAACATCACATCAAAAAATAGATGGGCATGGGAATTTTCATTTAAGTGAGCAATTAGTATACTCTCGTTCATGCTTTCAGAGTGTAGCTCATGTCTGCAAATTCTTTTCTACTAGGTGAGGAAGTCCATGATGGTTCATTATCAAGTGCAATTTAACTTACAAATTTAAATGTTACAATAAGAAATTAATCTTGTTTGTTCCAGGCAGATCTCTGAAATAAAGTTTATATCCTGACAAGACTCAATCAAGAATGACAAAGATCATTTGCTCAGAAATCAGCCATGTTTGATCCTAAATCGGGTGCCATAATTTGGGCTGCTACAGCGGCTCAGCTCTTTTTACTAGATTCGTTGGCCCAATGTTGGGCCTTGATTGATGACAAGGCTTTCAATGATGTGTGCTTACAGGATCTGGATGAGCCAGACAATAAATGACGGAGACTGAGGATAGGAGGAGATCTAAGAAAGGAGCCCCGAATGGCAAATGGAGAAGAGGATATCAATTTACCATGTTTGAAGGACTGCCATCAAAATTGGTTAAAACTATGTCACCCTTTTTTCGACTTAGTGGGAAAGGGTTCTCATACAAACAGGAGAGGAAAGAGACTGGTGTCTCACTGTAATAAAAAATGTGGCACGGTTATGTAGTCTGGTACCATAGAGGTATCGCAGCACAAAATTCATATGGTAGCTTCTAGTCTTTATTATATAACAATTGGAGACTTATATTACCAGTTTAGAATTTTAGTTAGGAAGAAGATTTGGGCACTAGTAGCCCTGTAAATAGACATGGATATAAGCCTCTAACATTCATGCTTTCACTATTGCTTTGAATTTTTGCATAACTAAAGTAGTAATAACTAGTATTAATCCTAGTAGATAATTCTCTTGTGAGTCTTTGACCTCTTATTGGGGCACAACATTTTTTTAGGTAATAGACACACCCAAGAATTTTGAATCAAATGAGCCCTAGAAACTTTCTCCATATTACAACAAATTACTATTCCTCATATGGTTAATGGTAAGTTGTGTATCTTTTCTAGAAATGAAGTGCATGAAGGAAATCAGTTCAAACTTAAAAAGTATTCAGAAGTTGGATGTAGGAAAATTCTATAGTATTAGTACCATTCCTTTGTTAAGAAACCTAGCTCCCTATAAGAAATCTAGCTTCCTATACATATGAATGATTGGATGTCAATTTATAGACAGTGATGAATCTGTTTCTTTGCATCACCATCTGCACATTGATACACATAGTCATGTACCAATATATTTTTTAAATCACAGTTAACAACACTATCTCTGATACTTGGTCGATCCCAGTAAAAGAAGAACCCAAGTTGTACATGCTAAGTGATACATACCTTATAATAACTCCATTCAATTTGATCTCCAATTTTATAGGGAAGAGGATTGTCACTGCAGAATGCAAGTTTTGTGGTGGAAAGATAGAGAACTCCCATAACAGGACCAGCAGATGTTGATAGATAGCATGCATGGTATTTCCTAAGTTGCTCTTCAGAAAGTGTGTCAAAAGTTTGTTGAAATATCTTATCATAACCACCTTCTGCAATCACTTTGGTTCCTTGAGCAATTCTTCCCATGGTAGCTTCAACAAAACTAGGTCCAGTGTTCACTGTATAGAATAAGAGAGCAAGATATTGATAGAGCATGAAACCAAGCTTCAAAAAATAAGAAAAAAAATTAATGTTTGCAGAAAATAAAATATTGAGTTGAAGTCAAGGAACAAAAACAACTTTCAGGTAATTTTGACAAATATAAGTTACCAGATTAAGCAAGAGTTTTTTTGCCACTTCAATTATAGCTCTTTACAAATAAATTCTACATAGCATACATGAACTCGTCAGTCTATCCAGAGTTTTGGGTGCAACTTCATTTTCTTACATCACCTTAAAACATGGAACATGTATTATCTCTGTGCCAAGATATATATGGCAATAGAAAAGCTATATCACTGGAAGCGTACAGCATACAGAGTCCTAGGAAATCCAAAACCACATTGTTATTATTAGTCAAGACATATAGGTCTGCACCATTACTGTCCTTACATCATATTGTTAAACATGATGGAAGTAACAGTTGGTAGTCAGTGACATTAGCCATGGTCATCCTCCTCCATGGTTTCACTAGCTATCCAAAATAGCACAATTCAAAAAACCTTCCAGTATGATCTCAAAATTAAATTCACAAAGAATGACTGCAATTAAATTGTTGAAGATATCTTGCCAACTTATATCATCTTACAATCAAGGTCTGTCATACCGAAGCATACCGCTCGTACCGAGCGGTATGTACCGGTCCGACAGGTTACCAGTACGCGGACCGCCCGGTACCGCTACAATGCTACAATATTTTTTATTGTAGCACTATAATAGTGCTACAGTACTATACTGTAACACTGTTACAGTATAAAAAAAATATAAAATTGTTCGGTACTCCAGGATGTACCGCTCGGTACACCCTGATGTACCGCCCGGTACACCGGTACCGTACCGTATCGAGCCCGGGTCGAAACGCCGGTATGATACGATACGGCGAACCTTGCTTACAACAACAATTAATAACATTCTAGTTATTATGTACATAAGATGGAGGCATAGTACATGAATTTAAAAAAAAAAGGGAGAAGATTTGTATGACTTTAAATGTTGGGACCTAGTGATATGATAAGGTTGCTTCTTTCTGATCTAAGCGATGAGAAATTCTAGTCAGGGAAAGTCGGCATTTGCAGGGGACCATCCTTTTCTTTAAGACTTAAATGACTTTGTTAGTCTTAACTACTACGACATCAGTCATTACAATATCTTAGTCAATTTATTCCACAACCCCTTCTAATGGCTAATTTCACCATCAAGATCCAGTCTTAACTTATTCATTTATCAACACAAGTTTTATACTGCCATCCCCTTATTTTTCTCAAACAATGTAAACCATAATTGAAATATAATTTAAAATAGCATGACTCTGGCTGTGATACTCTTTGTGTATAGCCTGCAAAGCAATGATTTATAAATATAGCTCACAGATCCAAATTTTCTTTCCATTTATGAATTTGTTTTTATATTTCATCCAATGACTATGATTTAGATAAATATGTAACCAGACTAGATTAAAGTCAATCTGGAAAATCAACGCTCTCACAAGCTAACACACCATCCTACCATTACTCCTGCAATTGACATTCGATAGTATTACACAAAGAAGCAATGAATTAATTGCACAGTTTTAGGGGATGTTTTAGACGGATATATCCTTGATAGGATCTAATTAATAAACATAATAGCCTGATATTAACAACTGCAAAGAGATTATTTCGTTGCAACTATCAAGATCGCCTGAGAAAGTCATAATATTATGTGTTATTCTTATATAATCCTTATTATTCATTAAATTTCGGGTGCAAATGCATGTTTGATAACTTGGTTAACTATGAATGCTAACTCATATCCACGCATTCAAGAATTCCATTGTCTACTCAGTATCAGTTAATCTACGATATTGTTACTTACGGTGCTGCCATGCGTTTCTAGTCAAGTCCTCAGCTTTCTTCGCTGTCTCACCGACCTTGCTCCCCCATATCTTAAGCACGTTCTTCACTGTCTCCATCGTACCTGATCATCCACAACCCCCTCAATCAATCAAAACTCCAGTTAATTAATAAGACAAAGGGGAAAATTTGGTACTTCGGGAGGAAGACGAGTTCGCAGCGGGAGGGGGAACCGCATAAGTGTTCGACACCGGCGGCGTTGCGGAAGCCGCGGGAGGCGACTCCCTGGCCAGATGAGGCGTCTGGGACTCGGTGGGTTGCTGATGGGGCTGGTGGACGTCGGGGTTCGGTAGAGGCGGCCGCGGCGGCGGAGGGGGAGCGGGGTCCTCGGCTCGGAGATTGGTGTGCGGGGCAGCTTCGGGGGAGCGTTCGCCGTCGGACACCGCCTTGCCGGCATGTTCGACGGCCGGATCCATCCCTCAAGGATCGCAATTCTTCCGCCTCTCCCGAGATCGGAGGGCCGACGTTTAAATCTTCGCTATAGATCGGATGCGTTTGTTTCAAGGAAGGTAGCAGCGCCGAAACGTCCGGGAGAAGGAGAAGTTATATATAGAGATCTGAGATCTCGGCCGATATAAACATTACAACGGTTCATGTAATTATATGTAAACTGCGTTTCGGTCTCTACATTTTTTTAATAGTATTCTTAATTATGTAAAAGTAAAACATATAGGTTCATTTACTATAATAACATCAGTTTTACTGATAAAAATATGAAAATAAATAATAAAATAGTAATTTAACGTTCTGTAGCGGATGACGTCGGTGGTGGCTGACGGTGGAGTCGTTGGCATCGATATCGATATAGTTGTCTTCCAACAACGATAAGGTCCACTCTTATCGCGACATCACCCACCTCCGTAAGGAGTGTGTCGCTAACCTCATCGTCGCCTGTATCGCTCTACATCTGCATTGATGCTGACACAGTTGACGAGCAATAACTACATCAACGTCGATGTAGATGATGGTGGTCGTCATGACATCTATGGCGAAGATGGTGGCCGCCTCGACCCCTCCCCCTTTGCATCTATGTTGACGTTAACGTAATTGCTGAGTGACAAAAGGATCGTTTAGTATTTGGCTCGGTGTTGATGCAGATGCCGAACGACCCTTTCGTCACTCAACAACTACATCGATGTCGACGCAAATGAGGAGGGGTCAAGGTTGGGATTTACTCAACGGGTCAACAATGAGATAACCACCATCTTTGATGTAGATGTTGCGATGACCACCACCATCAGCGTCAGCGTAGATGCAAAGTGACGTGAGGTGGGCGACAATGAGGTCGGTAACGCATTCCTCGTGGAGGTGAGTGGTATTGCTAACCCATTGGGCGAATCCCAACCTCGATACAAAGTTGGGGTCATTGGAGCTCCTACCATTCCCTTTGCTATTGCATCAATTTCGACACCACCTCTCGCCAAGTGGCACTTTTGTTGCTCGATAACTACTGTGTTGACATCGACACAAATGCAAAGGTGGAGGGGTCAAGGGTGGGATCCGCATAACGGGTTAGCTGCAAGGAGACCACCATTTTCGTCGTTAATACTGTGGCGACCACCACCATTTGCGTCAACACTGATATAATTGTTGTGTTAGTGTAGATGCAAAGCGATGTAGGGCGGAGGACGATGAGATCGATGACACACTCCTCATAGAGGTGGGTGGCATCACGGTAAGAGCGAATCTTACCGCCTAATGGGATCCACCGCCTAATGGGTTAATGGTAAGGTGATCACCATCTTCGTCATTAACACCGTGGCAACCACCACCATTTGCGTCAATGCTGATGCAATTGTCACGTCGGTGCAGATGCAAAGCGGTGTAGGGCAAACGATGATGAGATCGATGACACACTCCTCAAATAGGCGGGTGGCATCGTGATAAGAGTGGACCTTATCGTTGTCAGAGACAGCCAAGCAATTGCATCGACAATATCGTCCGCCATCGAATGTTAAAATTATTTTTTTATCTTTTATTTTTATGTTTATATCGGTAAAAGTAGCGTAGTTAATGTAAATAGATCTAGATGTTTCACTTTCGTAACTATAGAGATGTCAATAACTTTATAAAGTATAGGAATCGAGATATTAAAAACAACTAACTACAGTAATAATATATAATTAGCCCATAACTTTACGATGCATTTTATTTTTTTTCCCTCAATTTATAACTATATTTTTCTTATGCTTACATTACACATGGTGTGATCAACTTTTGAGGCTCAAGATCTGCAAAATCTTAAAGATATCAGGTAGACTAATTAATAATAATCTATGATTATTGATAACAGTTTTTTGAGATTCATCATTTATCCTTTATGAAAAAAAAGATAACTGATAGATATTTAATTTGGAAAATAAAAAGGGATCCTTCACATCTCTCTATTTGTGTGATATGGATATACATATGTGAATCTTAAAGCATATAAGCCTCCAACTAGTTCATTGTCTACAAGCTTAGACAAGCCAAGAACTCCATTTTGCATCTCCAGAGAAGCATATAAATTGAAATGAAGGAACCATGATCCACATTTCCAAACAATAATGAAAGGAATAAAACTACACCCCCATGGAACAATTTTGCAACGTCTCTTGTTCGTGAATAGGAATCAGGTGAAGATCTACAAGCTGGTTTCATTTCAGGACATGAACAGAGATGATGAATGTAATCCTCAGCTGGTGCCTGCACCAACTTATATTTCTACCTCAGCTGTTTGTCTGCAGGGGCAGAGTAAATAAAACTGCCCAAAGTGCAGTCAGACCACATTCATATCATCAAGGAACTAAATATGATTTCCTTAGACCTTTCAAAAAACAAACAATCTAAAAAATACTTTACAATTCACAGTCCAAAATGATCATCATCCTGCTTTATATTAAACTGTATCCTCCATAGAAGAAAACTTGACAAGAGCTAAGAAGTGAGTGAGAAACATAGACAAGGAGAAAAGAATAAAGGAGAAAGAGAAAGGAATTAGATACTTTTCTTACTGGTTAACCCCTTCAACCCAAATCTCTGCAGCCTTTCCAAAGGTTACACATGGGCAGCAGGCAGCCAACAGAGCTGCATGCAGGAGGGAGTAGTCAGTTTATCTAGCTTCAAGCTGGCAGAGCCACTACCTTAAACAAATCTGTCAAGCATTGCAAAATGATATCCAACACATGACACATATATTCTTGCCACTGCTATGTGTCTTTGGCCTAACAGATCATTCCTAATTTTCTTGATCAACAATCAACATAGTGAACCAATAAATCCCCTCAGACCATTGTGCTTTCTGGTCATTCTTTCAAGTCGGACTACTGCATTTGCATTCAGTAATAGCATGTCATATTATCATCTCATACTGAATTTAAACATAACTTCAAACAAAATTATGGCATGTTCAACCTTCATAGTACCATGAAACTTTTATTAATATACCATATGCCGCAAAGCCATAATATACTAACTCCTATCCATGGTTTGTCGATGTTGCACTATTGTACAATAGATCAAGGATTTCTTGAAGGTACAACTAGCTGGCATTATCACATGTATGAGTACCTGGAGTAGCAGAAAAAGAAATAATGCACTGGACAGTTGAAGAAAGAACCATCATGATGTAGTAGTAATAATTCATTAGTTATCACTTCAATAATACAAGTCTAGCCACCACAAACTCTTTGCCCCATCTTGAGGGCTTATCAAGGAACCATGTAGATGCATCTACTTTCAATCAAGGAAATAGCTAAAGGTTGCAGAACTGGACATAAAAGAAAATTCAGAAGGCTGTATAGTTGTAGAAGTTGAATAGCACAAGGCAGTAAAACATCAGTAACCAAAAAATTAAATATCTAAACAATCAAACAAAAGAAACAGATCATAATGTCAAGTGAAACATCTTAGTCTTGGTCACCACAAAAAGCATAATCAAATACAAAAGAACATAGTCCACCAGTCAGCAAGAATAAGTAGCAAATTACGGAACACACCTTACAAGGAATGCTAATCTCATATATACATTTATTCCAATATATGCTATCTCTTGGCAAGCCAATTCCCAAACTGGTCTTCGAGTAGACTTTCCATTCATCTCATCCAACTGCAAATTTAGGGGACAACACCAGCCACACTTACTCAGTAAATATTTTCATGTGATGGGCAACATTCCTGGTGTAAGCCACCAAATGAAAACTCTGAGGGTGTCAACTGCTAAATTTTGTAACACCATTCTTCAGCAATCCCATAAAATATTGATAACCACTGAAATATCTGTCTGATAACTAATCTCAAACTTTTCCAACATTGATGTTGGATGATTAATCTCAGTACTGGTGGCGCAAGAAGATTGCAACATATATATATTTAATGGAAAGCAGAAAAGATAAATAAAAAGATAAAATGATTGAAGAGTAGTAATTTAGAACTTTAGGTAAGGATCATAGTTTGTCTTGTCGGTCCGTATCGGTCAATTGTCGGTATGGTTCATACCAAACTGTACCGAGTTATACCAAGTATACTGACACATGATACATAAGAACATACCGATGTATCGCTCGTACCGATTTAACCAATCCTTTATCAGACCAGTACATACTGGCCAAACTAAGTGGTTTGTCATGGTACAACGAACCTTGGTAAGGATATGTATCATCTCAACATAATCTCATTTTAAACTCTATACAAAAACTTTAATCAGAGATAAACTTCACTAAAAACAGTTCAGTTGCAGAGACTTTCCTAATTTAATTTAGGAAAGAATATATATATATATATATATATATATATATATATATATATATATATATATATATATATATAATTTAGAACATTAGGTAAGGTTCATAGTTCATCTTGTCGGTCCATATCGGTCAATTGTTGGTATGGTATATATCTAAATGTACCGAGTCATACTGAGTATATTGACACATGATATATAAGAACATATCGATGTATCGCTCATGACCAGTCCCTTATCAGACCAATATATACTGGCTGTACTGAGTGGCATGTCATGGTACAACAAACCTTGGTAAGAATCATCTAAAGATATTGTATCATCTCAACATAATATCATTTTAAACTCTGTAAAAGAATTTTAGTCAGAGATAAACTTACTTTCTGACACTAAAAACAGTTCAGTTGCAGAGACTTTCCTATTAACGTTGTGAAAACAACCCCGTAGCTTACAAGGGTTCTTAAGCAACAATTACAATAGCACAAAATAACTGGCATATGTTCATTGATAATCCAGAATCCTCAATACTGGACCACTTGTTTACCCAATGGAGCTACTTACACCATTGCAGAAAGTCTCCAGCAAAGCATCACTATCCATCTAAAAATCAAGAGCACAAGATTGTTGAATATCTCCAAGATTAATATAGTTGCTTCACAGGATTAGTGTGATCTGTACACAAACATACTATCAAAAAGTTATGCTACAACAGAGAATTAAAATTACAATTTGCACTTTCCATATCATCAGAGTGCACGAAATTTTAGATAAGAAAAGCATTATGAAATAAGTAAGCTGCAGCCTTTCATAAAAGGCTTGATACATTGACTTAACATGGCCAACTGCAGCAATTAAATCAAATGACATATGTCAACCACTAGTGAGATGATAAGCCAATGGCCAACTGCTGCAATTAAATCAAATGACATGTCAACCACTGGTGAGATGGACACGGTGACGGGAAGATGAGAAAGAAGCTTGAAATGATGATAACAATCAGAATTTCAAAATGGCAACAAATCACAAATTTTGAAAAGAATGACTTCAGAAGCACAAAATGGAAGAAATAAAGAAACTACTCAACCATAACAGACAATTCAAAGACCCTAAAAATAAGGTATAAGAGAAGTTGCCTCAACATATGAACTCCCCTAGCGGGTAAAAAACAAAAACAGCAAACAAAATAAAAGAAGCTAAACTCTTTATCATACGCTAAAAAAGGAAGCACTCTTCCCAACTCTGCAGAAATATTTCACTCTTATATGTCTGAACTTATAATTCTGATATTAGCTTTTACAGAAGGTTCATATCTCAGAATGCAAGATAAGAGACGATAAAGTTCCAAATACAACCACATGCTTAAGCAGTTGAAGCTTAGCTTCATACCAGGTTCTACAACATTAAGGATCCAACATTTGATGGTACGCTGACCTAATAACATAGGAGAACAAACACATCCGTCAACGTCCTCTTTCAAAGGCAATGCGGGACCTTCCAGATCCTCCTCCCTCATAGTCATCTCTCATTGAAGACCCAGCACTCGCCTTCATGGTTCCTCCACCACCAATTTTATCAAGGGGCTTTTTACCCTTCTTCACCTCAGTCAAGAACTGATCCAGACCGAAAGGATCATTCTCTTCCTGCTTATCAAACTCCACTGGCCTCTCTCTCTTACTACCAGATGGCCTGTCAGAAGCACCAGTAAACGCCTTATCGGGCTTGAACCTATCAGTTTTCAGAACCTTCTCCAGCTGTTCATCTGCACCTCCATACATATCTGCGTCAGTATCTTTCTTGGGCCTGTAGAGCGTGGAAAGCGTGGGCTGTGCCGTGAACAGGCCCTTATCATATATGTTGTATTGATCATCAGTCACAAACCCAGAGTCCATACCCTTGTCCTGATTAAAGAGCCTCTGGTCATACATAACTTCCCCAGCACGCCCAGCGCCAACATTTGCCATACCAAGAGCAACCTTCTCACTAATATCCCGGTCCCTGTCCCTAGTTGTCTTACTCTTTTTCCCCATGGCAGCATCCTTATTTTCCAGCCTTCTCTCCCTCTCCCTCTCACGTCTCCGCTCTTCACGGATCTTATCACGCTGCAGCCGCTCTTCTCGTTCATCTCTTGTTTCCTTCCTCTGTTCTTGTGGCTCTCCTAGTTCTGCATCATCAATCATGGTCTTATCGGAAGGCAGAGGAGCAGCAGGGGCCGGAGCAATGCCAGTCCTCTCAGAACGTGCCTTTTGAGCCAATGCACGTAGCTCCTGCTCCTTTCTTGCTTTTTCCTTAAGCATGAGCTCCTTCTGCACCTTTGATCTCATATCAACAGCTTCTCTTGCCTTCTGCTCAGCCACATACAAAGCCTCAGAAAGCTTAGCGAAGTTGTCATTAATTTGCACATCTTGAAGACCCCTACCATCCGCAGCCAGCCGCTTGTCCAAAGGAATCGTATAACCTTTTGGATTTTTCCAATTTGAGATGCAAGGAGGGATCTTCCAGTCCTGTTGGTCCTTCACTGTGACGGGTCGTGGTGGGGAGTGCATCACCGGCACCGGTGGCGACCCTGATGCCTTTGGGACCCTCTTGTGCTTGAACTTTGGCGGCTCAAGTGGATCGACAGGCATCTCAACCATCCGAATGATCCTCTCTTTTGCACCAGAATTGAAGGCTGCAGACTGCTGTGAGGGCTTGTACTTGATGAACTTCGACTCTGTGGATTGCGTAGGGACATTCTTTGGCTGGGCAGCACTCAATCTTACATTAACAATCTTCTCCAGAGCTTCCTTTGTCCGCTGGGTGCTCTCCTCAATCTCCTTTTCCTCCTCACTCTCAATCTCATCTTCCAAACCCACCTTTGGGACAAGGTCCTTGTGCTGGGAGTAGACAATTTTTGAAGCATTCTCATTCTGCTTCACGACTGCATCAAAGGCAACTTTCCCCTGGGAATCAACAGTGAGGGCGAGGATCTTGGAACCAGGCTTCTGATCCTTCCTCCCCATGCCAAGGGGATACTGGGCGACGTGTATCTCAGGGAAGGCACCGCCATCACCAAAGTCCTCAGGCTTCCTGGGAACGAACCCCGAGCGCTTACCATAGGGTGGGACTGGATTCGGTTTAATTGCTACAGATCTGGTGGATTCTGAGGAGGCGCTGTACCGCTCCTTGAACCACGGGTCGTTTGAGTGGTCGTAGTGCGAAGTGGTGCTCGACTTTGACGGCGGCAGAAGGTCCTTCAGGGTCGCCATGACAGAAGATCAATCACCTGGTATGACTCAACAGACAACAAAATCGATCAATTTCCAAGAGTTACATAGAAACCCTAATTCCAATAAGAAGAACAATCAACAAAAGACGCCCTTCTTTATGACTCCGTTGTGCAAATCTATACCACAATCATCAATAACGTAACTCAACCTTAGGTCAGACTAACGAACGATCTTTTCCAATCGAAAGATCTTTAAAAAGCAAATCAGAAACCCTAAGATTAGGATAATATGACACAAAAGAAAAACCTTTTTCCTTCAAATCCATCAACGAAAACAATCGAAATCAAATAAACCACAAAAATAACGATAGAAAGACCAGCTTTCACCCAAAAGAAAGTCGAAGAACCCGCGGAGAAGACCCGATCAGATGAACAAAAACAACATAGAAAAGGTATGAAAGAAGAAAGACGAGAAGTAACGAACCGTAGTTTGTACAAAGAACTTGAGATCAGATCAAGTCCGAGCGCGACGAATCCCACGACAAGATGGAGGAGAAGAAGAGGCGGAGAGGATTTTGGGGGCTTAGGGTTGGCGATTCGAACTGATCGGAAACACGACTACCTCCTTCTATAGAGGAAGTGAACACAATCGGTTCGGGCCGGTTCGGTTAACATTTGGGCCGGCCCAAATTAGTCAGGTCTTGAGTCCTATAAAGATAGTAAGCAATTATAATGAGAACAACACTGTGTGATAGGTTGAAATAATTGTATTTTTTTAGTTAATCATTGTATTCTATCTGGATATACTAAATCATATTTATTTTATAATTAATTAATTAAGTATTAAAGGTATTAACTTAATTAAATATCCTTCCAATTTTATCGGATGTCTATGAAAAGATAATATTAATTGAATATGTCAACAAGCGTAAAGATCTTAATATAAAAATAATTTATGTCCAATGTATATTCTAATAGTTTTTTTTTTAGTGCAAGCAAAAAAAATAAAAATAAAAATCTTCCTTCTAGTTGTGTTATATTTTGGTGGGATGATGGAGGGGTTATTAAGTTGAGAGTGTTGTACAGAGGAAATGATGGAGATAAGCAATGAAGAGAATGAGGTGAGGCAATGGCAACATTGATGAGAAATGGTGATGTTACAAGAGAATAAAGGAGTAAAATAGAAATAAAAATGAATTAATTTATTCTTTTACATTTTAAAGTTTTTCAGATACTGCTATAAATAACTACTAAAAGAAGTTTATTAAGATATGGTGAATTATGCATAAATTAGGCTTCTGCCAAAGAAGAGAGGCTAATTTGTATTGTTTGTAATGTATTCAACATGCATGGACACAAATAAAGTGATTGACAGTGAACATAACATACTGTATGAGCTTCCATGCCTCTCATGTAAGTGCACATATATGAACATGACTCTTGAGGTGAAGTGGATCTCCACTGAGTGCTCATCCTTTGTTTTAATATGAACTTGGATTAGAGAAAACCAATCCACATGTATGCACATATCAAATCCAAAATGGCTTGCAACACCATATGCACAATTTGATGTTTGATGGCCATTGATAGATTGGATCTCAGGGTGTACTTGATCAGCACTAGGAAAAGGTTTCTTCACAAAGGGAGAGACAAGAGGAGGCAAACAAGACTGCAGAGAATAATTCTTCCTTTATCCTTTTGGAAACACAGCAATGGTCTTAAATAAGGTCCACCCACACCCCCCCACACCCATCTCAAAAGGACTGGATTCTTGTGTTCTTTTGGGGGTTTTATATGTTGTCTTCCCAAGATTTCTACTGACAGAAGCTCTTCTTTTATGCCATGGAGTAGGCTAATTCCAGGATCTAAGCTTACACCAGTCAGTGATATGGTAGTATGATGGCAGACATTACAGACACAACAAACAATTTTGTGAGTAGGTATTGAACCTTTTTTGAGAAAATTCACTTCTCCTTTTCTCTAACTTTCTATTCTTTTTCTTCTTCTTTTCCTTTTGTCTGAGTGGTCACTTTTGATCCTTAAAGGAGCTTGTTTCCTGGTTTCTGCACTTTATTCTCTCCGGCAGGATCTTTCTCCAAAGAGATTGTCCATCTCCCCTCGTTTCTCTCTTAGAATTTTCATGATTTAGAAGATGGTGGCTGCTCCATCACATCTATTGCAAGAGCAACTGATTGCTTGCTTGCATTTATTCCTTTTTCTCAGGTCATTTTTTGTTTTTTTGGAAGAACTCCACAACACACAAAAAATCCTCCTTGACCAAACCAAAATGGTTGCTTGAGAGAAAGCCTAAACCTCACTGGGAGAAAGGAGCACACACAAGAACTCCTTCATGGCAATGTCATCTGCTTACTTTCCTCTTCTTGCAAGCTGGAGAGGTCTGAAGACTTGCATCATCACTCTTGTAGCTCAGGCAAGCAACATCCAACACCCCTAGCGGGCTTTGTGGCACAGAGGACACTGATGAGCTGACATCTTCAATTGACTGCTGCCTAATTAAAACTTTGTTTTGAAGCACTTCATGACATCCTAAGACATCGTCCTGCAACCACCAAAGTTATGACAAAATGAAAAACCATCAAATCATGAAAACCACCTCAAGGGTAAATCTCAAGTGAAGCACACACTTGGCAACAGTCTTCAACTCGAAGATGATTACCAATTGGTGGTAATCATGCAGAAAAAATTTGATACAATGAAGAACTAGCAGTGCCAGAACCATTTTTACCTTCATTACATGAGTGCAACAAGACAACTTCTTTTCAACATCCACCATTTGGGTTTCTCTCAAAACCAACAATGCAATGGCTGCAGCAATTACAGAAGGTCTGAATGCTAGGAAATCAGTATCTGCATCCAATTGCATCATTCTTAGTCACACAACTCGATTGTCCTGTTATGCATGAAATTATTGCTTTCATGGAGAAAACTACCTTTAACCGTGCTCGAGATGAGTTCTGCAGATCGAGAGACCGATAGCTTGGTTGGTGAATTGCCATCACTGAACTTGTGAAGGAAGAAATCTATGTAAGAGAAAGGAGTCACAGCTTGCATCTTCCATCTGAGGGTGCTCAGCACCAGAAGCTCCATCCTCTGAATAGTCTTAGCTTCAAAGACATACTTTGCCTCACCAACCTATCCAAAACAATTCAGAGAGAATCTCAATAGAAATATCTGTGAAGATCATGTCAGATAACTGCGCATTCTTGATGTCTGCTCACCTGTAAATCCATGAACAGAGGAACATCAGTTTCCTCCATCTTGGCCGCCAAAGAGAGACAGGCCACAGCCAGTAGCTGCGTCATCCAAGCCTTGCCTTGCTACAATTATAGATGATAGTAAAGATTTGAATCAGTGAATTATATTAAGTCGACATGACATTACAGGAATGAGCTTGTAATGAAGATTATGATCGACAGAAACGAATATGAGCAGTGTATGTTCTTACTGGAAGCTCATAGGCAGAGAGGAACCGATCCAAGTAATTGACAGATACATAGGCAGTTAATGGTCCAAAATTGTAATGGGCATGAACCTGTTCAGTGAACCACAAATGTCATCAATCCACGACTCAGGAGAGAAGAAAAGCTGGAAGCAAAGGCAGGAGTAAAACAAGAAATCATTTCCATTATCATAAATTGAAGCCTAATACACAAAGATTATCAAGCCAAATAAATAAGAACACTGTGATTTTGTCAATAAGAACACAAATTCATAGAAGCAAACTCATAAAATTAATCGCAAACACAGAAGAAGAAGAAGAAGAAGAAGACATTAAATGACACATAAATGTGGTTAGCAACAGCAGCAGTCTTATAACTATCGACACGTTTCGAGAAAATCAACATAAACTCAAAAGATACTATTCAGCAAATCCAGCAAAAGAGACTAAGAACAACAAAAGGAAAAATAATATGAAAAACCCGCCTGCCACATCCAATCAATGGCGTCCCGCCTGAAGGACAGGTCTAAATCCCCCGAACGCAGCCTCTCGCCATAGTCCTCCCTCGGCAGATGCTTCTTTTCTCTCTCGACCAGCAAACTCAAGCAGTCATCCGACTGCAGGGGGAAATCCACATAAAAATCACACCTTTCTGGTTCAGAAACACGACTAGGCCTATCCTCACGCTGCTGCTCCTCATCACCAAAGCCCAGAATGCTGTCGTTGTCCTCGGCGCAGAGGAGGCCGGAGGAAGCACAGTCATAGCTTGGACTCATTGCTCACTAAGAGAGAGAGAGAGAGAGGAGAAAGAGATGCAGATAAGGGAACTGTGAGAGCTTTATTCTATAGAAAGGGTCCCTGTTCTTCCTCGCCTCCTCTCCTCCTTCAAAGATGACTCCTTCTCATACCGAAAGTGAGTTTTATGTTGATACAATTCCAGTGCGAGATCAGAGAAAGAGGAGAGGAAGAGGAGGAAGGCTCACTGTTGTATAGAGAACAACGTGAAGATTTTGTAGGGGGAGGAAGAGAATCTGAAAGGTAAAGATAGGCGGAAATAATTAAAAGCTCCTATGAGGGTGTGGGATTTGTGGTGGGTTTTAAGGTGACGAAGACGACGACGATGATGATGATGAGCACCTAATTACAATGATGATGTGATAATTGATTGCTTGGTGACTGGATTGGCATGATATGGTCTAACAAAATCTCTGAAGACAAGGATTAAAGAGGAGGTTTCATGGGACTGTAAAAGCTTGGAGATGCACTCCTATGAAATTAGTATATACTAAATTTATGTTAGATGAATTGTTATTTTTTCTATATATTCTCTCTATAAATTGCCATTCTGTGTGAGTTAGTTTACCTAAGTAGTAGGAACAAAAAGTAAAGCTCCACTTACCAAATGGCACTTATAAGATTAATATTGTACTCACCCTTGTTGAGTTATTCATGGACTTAATATGAAGTACTTAGAAATGGCATGAATCCAAAAGTTGAAAGCATTGTTAAGTAAGTTCCTCAAAAATGTGCAGCATAAACAAGTAACAAAGTATACAAGAATCTCTCTCTCTCTCTCATACCTCACAGCTTCTACCACTCTCCATGACAGTGCTCCCATTTCAAGATCCTTCAGAATTCTCACTGTCCTTTGTTTCCTCTGGCCTTTTCTCCCACCTGACAATGGAAACTTAATTCCAAAATAAATTAATATAATAATATCAGAGATAACTTCATAAACTACAAATCCATACTGTCTGTGTTCTGTTTCATCACAACAACAAAAGGTTAAGGACACTTTGTACCATGACAGAATCTACTATATATTGATCAACTGACTCCAAACATCAGCTTGATATATCAAATATTGATATTGATTAGAGTGGTGGTTGTCCTGCACAAAGACTAGCACATAATTATCATTTCTTTCAGAGAGAATTTATAAGATGAAATCCTAACATATATGCCATGAGAGTGAAAAGGTGTGGCTAGAGAAAATGAATGTAGGCAATTGAGGAACCACATCACCAAAAGGAATATGGCAGAAGTTAAAACAGTGCATCAGCTGATCTTCTCTTTTGGAACTTGTGGACTTTACTATTCGGATGTCATGGAGAAACAACATGGAAGGTACTCAAAGCTTTACTAAGATGCTTGCAAGCACTACTTTTTTTAGAGTTCCAAAGAAATGAGCTTCTCTGCTTCACCACTTTGAGATGCTCCTTTGTTTCTCACATTCCCTACTAAATCTCTCTCTGTTTCCATGACTCTTTCCATGCTGGGTCAGATGAAGAAGCTTTAACCATACTGTGAGCAATCCATCCTTTCTTTCGGCTGCAGTCCTGGCCTTTGATGTCCTGGCCTTAGATCAACTTGAGATATTTTTCTCATTGACCAAGAGGAATGTTATTTAACCACATACAAGCTTTCTAATGCATCAATAAGAAGACTTACTCTAGATTATAATCTGAAAAATGAGCAACTATAAGGAAATTGCAGAGGAGAAAAATATTGTTTCACTATAAATAAAAATGCTGAAATCTACATATCTGATACCCCACAGAAGAAAGATATTGCTATAAGATCTTTAGAGATTTTATGACAATTGATAAGAGCTTGGGACATGTTTGAACAAGTGCAGTGCAACTTCTAACAACAAGACAACATTGAAGGAATTTGTTTTCTTTGAACAACCCATGAACAGGAAGTGAAAGCAATCAGAGGAAGGACACTTTAGGAAGCTGCTTGGCAGGAGACTGGCAACCTGCAGATACAAACTTAATTGAGCCATCAATTAACAGCCCATGTGTTTTGCAACCTGCATATACAAACTTAAAAAAAGAAGTAATCTTCTAAATTTGATGTCAGAAACAGATATTTTAATTTACTCTCAAGTGCTTCATGTCAGGTTTCATGTTTAGTTGCTGATCAATTATACAACCTTCAAAGTGTCTCTAATCAAATATTTACCATCTCAAGATGCAATATACATCTCCATTGGCTAGTAAAGTTTATATAAACAGATCAAATGACATATGGAGTTGCAAGTTGTCCATACTGCTGATTCTTAGACTGTCATCCAAGTCATGCAAAACAAGTTGTTCCTCATTTTAAGGTTGATCTGCTGAGCAACTTCTGATAGAAAGATTTTGGTATCCATTTGATGTTCATCTGCAACTGGCACTGTGAACATTTAGATCTCTCATGAAAATCTCTTAATTACGAGAATCTAATACATAGAAAAAAAGAATTTATTGCATGGAAAAGACTTATTATGTATATCTCCAGGTTAACGTCACTTAGCAAACATACCAACTTGATTTGAGAGTGCTTGTTCAGCAGTGACCCACCCCTTGGGGCTCTCCTTACCTTGTCGATACCTGAAACCTATTAAGTAATGGCCTGAAATGTACAGGTGCAACATTTGTGCAAGTACAGAGAAGGCATGCTATGGCATTTGAAGAGCATAGGTTAGATCACTATCCTAATAGAAATAGTCTAAACATATAATACACCTGGAAAATTCTTTACAAAAGCTTTTAGGTGCCCAGTACAATGCGCGACTCTTCAATGCATCCTACTTTGTCATCAATAATTCCCCTATTGCTCAATCCTTCCAAAAAAAAAAGAATGAAAAAAGAAATGACATAGAGGTGAACCCATATTTGACATGTCATTGCAGAACACCAATAGCAAATCAGAATCAGGCTGATCTCACATGAACAAACTTTTTCTTCCTTCTTAATCATCTGCATATATTAGCCCATCAGCTGGCAATCATCCTACTGAACTAAATAATCCCTCCTTATCTTATCTACATACCGTATACACTACTTTATAAGTAACTGGTCTGTTGAGTACATTATCAAAAGGTAAACAAGTGAGAGACCTCACAAAAGCTGCATAAGGTGGGGCTCTTCTACTTTTGAGTAGAGATCTTATGCATGAGGTAGTAAACCTTTTAAATTAGATATCTGATGCTGGTTTTAAATTTATGAATTAATGAACACAAATGTGGAAAAGTCATAACCACATAATGATTCTCATTTCTCATCTTATCATTTTCATCAAAATAGACCTGAATTCATTAAAATAACTTAGTATGGCTCTGAACTGTTGACAGACTCAAAATTGCAAGTCAAGGACAGATTTCCATTCACCTATTATCTGCTTTTGTATCCACAGCATCAAATACTTATTTAAAGCACAATTAAGGCCCTAACATGTTATTTTACAGAAAGATGTAGCAGATAATAAGATACTAAAACTCTTCCTAAAGCACAATCTCATTTCATCAATGTGATGACTTGTAAAGCAAACTTATTTTGCACCATATATGTTGAATTGTCCCCCATCAATCTACTTATTTAGATTATCCTAGCCTCAGTGGAATAGCATACATCACCCAGAGCTCCAATGAGGCAGAAGTAACTGGGTGGTCAAAATGGAGGCTAACAAAGTCTTTAAATAATAGGACCATAGGAGCTCCTGCAGAGGAATCCTTGGTGCTCATGTGCTTTTATGGTGCTCAGGAGCAGGGTAAAGGAGTAGTTTAGTCGCAGCACATATCAAGGACTTTTGAGAGGTTGCTTTCATGCTTTCTCTTCAGTAGCTGTATGCAGCTTTCTGCATCAGCACACTGGAAGGCAAAGCTACTCAGTTCATGGCATTGCAGATGCCCAAACTTCCATGAGAGGCAGAAATTTTATATTTCAAGTCATGAGGGATCAAGGAGTGCAGTCCAAGTGTAGTTTATGGGAATGTACTAAAAAAATTGACAAGCTGGAGATTGATTGTTTCTAATTGGGTGAGCTGAATCTAGGACTGGTTTCAGGGTATGTTTTGGTTGTTTTCTTGTAGGTAACTTGGTGAAATAGCAAGCCTATGGATTCTATTTAAGCACACCAAACCAGGGGTTAACATGTGCAAGGTTTTCATTGCAGTATAACTCAATGACAATGCCCTGAATAATTGCATATTGTATTGAGGATATGGCTTTGATCACTACGACATACAATTTCACAAAAAATGAGGTATATATGGGTAATCACCGGACCAATTCTAGACCTTGATTGAGCAAGAAAACCAATAAGAGCTTTTTGCAAGAAACAAAATGCCCTGAGGACATTCCCATGTCAACAGTTATGAGAATTTGTATTGTGAATCATATGGAAACTATCATGCTTACAATCTTCTCGCCCCTTACAAGCATTTGACCCATGTTTTCTAAACACTTAATTGCATTGGGTTTGGCAAGTTGATTGTATCATGGTGTTCTAAAATGATGTCTGTTTAACTACAACTAGTATGATGAAGAGCAAAACAAATGGGGTTATGTTTGACATTTGGCTAAGCAGCTCACCCTTTTACACACATGCAACCACATAATGCTGAATTCCAACAAAATGAATCAAAGGAAAGACACTGAACTAAATAACTTCTAGTATAATTAATAGCAAATGATACACAAATGTTCATCAAATACGCCCTTTACATGAAGATCCTTAGAATACCAAACAGAAATTTCGTCCCATAACAACAACACAATCCTGTGAAACACACTGAAGGGAGACAAATTCCAGTCTTTCAGAAAGAGACCCCACAAATTTTAGTACCATGGAAGCAAACAAAGGAACCATCAAACGGAATAAGATACAACAAACAAGCACACACAGGGAAATATATTCACTTCAGGATGAACCTTTTATTACAACAACTGGGCAGTTGGCATGGTTGATGCAGTAGTTGCTTACACTTCCCAAGAACATCCTGCAATAAAAGGTTATGATAAATTGATGCAAGTCGGACTCAAAAGAGAAACTAATTTTTAGTTGTAGCTCATGGCAGTGTAATCACATAGGCAAATATGCATCAACTGAAGATAAACATCATGTACCATCCCCCATACAAAAGAATTGCATAATAAGAATCACCGCATGCTAATTTGAAGCAAGCAAATAAACAAACAAAAGAACATGGTCTACGTGTATTCAAATTGCTAAGAAAAACTCTCTTTAAATGATAACTTACAAGTGGAACTTGATTTGGGTTTTATTTATCAATATTATTAATTTATTGTATTATCACGGTTTTAAGCACCGGCAGCACACAGGGTTTAGCATAGTATGCGCCAGTGGCATGCAACTGTGAACTGCAGTGTGAACAAGGTGATGCCTTGTGCCAACAGCGGCAAAAGGAAATAAGAAAACTGATAATAGCCAAAATACTTTCCTCGTCTGGCCTTGACTCCAAATTCTCTTACATCCCTTCCTCTTCCCTGACCTCCTTGTTGATGATCTATAGTGAGAAGCGGCAGCGAAGCTGCAACCCTTTATATCTCTTATCTCAAAACTGTTGCAGCCAATTTATAATAACCATTCCAGTCTGGTTCACTATCAGATAATTAATTTGATCCATTAGGTTCAACAATCTCAAGATATCCAGTTTGAGGGCGAGCATTGGTACGATGATGAGACAAGGTGATCCCTTGCAACTGAGATCAGGAGACAAATTTTGGAAATAGTCTTTCTAAAATTAAAGTAGGACTATGTACATTGACCCTCTGCAGACCCACATTCCGCATTAGCTGGAGCCTCATGTACTAAGTTTACCCTTTAATCTCAAGACCCCCAGTTCAAGTCTCAGTACCACATCAGCATTTGACCTTTTGAATAACAGTTGAAAAATTGCAATACCCCAAATTTGTTGGTAAGTCAGACTATTAGAGACTTTAGGATGCAGAAATCAAGGTAGAAAAGCAACAAAATAACTGTCACTTTCCAGATCATCATCCTTGAGACGTTAGAACTCCAACTAGATTAAACTGCCTATGTTACTTGTGCCTATGTATAAAAAGAAGTTAAAACAAGATTCAGATTTGGCAGAAACTTCACGATGCTTGAACGACAAATTATTGTGGAGAGACCACTACAACAGAAGGCAGACCTTTATCCTTTGCTAGAACTACTAGCACCTATGTTTATATGTAGGACACTGGAACTGGTATATCACCCAACCGTGAAGCAACAATAAAGGAACTCAAAAAAATTACAGTAATCTGACACACCACCCCTCATACCAGAGTTCATAGACGTGTCTGACAGGCCTAACTCTAGATCTTGGTTGAGACTCATATGGTATATAGTTTGCAATAAGCATATTCCATATCGATCATTATTTATCTTCTAGTTATTTATAAAAAAAGGAAACTAAGTTAACCTAGAGATTTCAGAATATTGGAGGATATCCTCAACATATTGAAATTATACCTCAAAATTTGTCTGTAACAAAACAGTGTTAGTATTTTTTTTTTCCTGCACCACCTTCGAGAGCATCTTTGCCTCCAAGAACATCTTTCAATAATCTCATGGATGTTTCCTCAGATTTCTGTTTCAGTTAATTTCAACAAGAATATCAAATAGCTTTTAAGAATCTACAAATACATATATAGAGCCTTCACAACATCCTAACACAGTTATACGTATCAAACTCCTTTTAAAGTTGTATGTATCAAGAATATGAAACTCCTTTCCAAGAGGGACAAGAAATGTTTTCTAACAGCTTCCTTCTTCCACCACCTCAAAAAAAAAAAAACAAACCCCTTAGGTTTCCATAAGACTTCTCTTGGCCTTCAAGAAAATAAAGCAAGAAGACAGCTTATCAAACACAAGCAAATATTTCCGAAACCATTCCCCAAGTCCAGATGCTAAGGAAGCTTGAATCCAATATGATCATTCTTTTTATGTGAATCCATTGCAACATGGGACCACAACAACACAATTGACTCAACCTGTGTATAGTGCCAAAAGAAGAATTCCAAAGCTTATCCCAATTAAAAACTTTGTGAACTCTTCCCAGCATGAGTTAAGAGATATAACCACTTTTCTGGACGGAACTAAGTAACCTACCAAAGCAAAGAAACTCTCTAGAGATGCTACAAACTGATATCATCCGCAATTAGACAATATGTAACAGACAAATAATTGTAACATCAAATTCAGAACATCATCTTGCAACAAATGTTGGGACCATCGACTTCAATTTCCCTTTAAAAGTTTCAGATGCCCTGTTGTTCGGTTCACTGGCATGTTACTTTTTTCAGTCATTTAAGAACTCTCTGCTGTTTGACCAGAACTGATACCGATGTTTGATGGTCATACAATAATTTACTATATGGTTTATCTGTTTCCTCTTCTTGCAGTAATCATGCTTTAACTGAAGTTTAATGCTGAAAAAAGTTAAGCTCTTGACTTTTGTTCTTTTTTTGTTTTGCAGAGATCAAAGTTTGTAAAGCTGGAAAGGAATAATATAATAAAGCAACTTAAGATCTGCAAGTTTTACGGTACCAAACAAAGTCATTCCCATACTGAAGGGGGAAACAAAATGTAAAGAGAGAATTACCTCTTGATGGGCCCAAAAGCACGGGAACCCATCACAAGTAGATCCGCGTGCAAGTTGGTGGCCACCTCACATATCATCTCCTTCGGATCACCCACCACCACTTGCGTCTTGACATTCACCTTCATATTTGCAGCAGCATTTTCCAATCAAATTGACGGCAATCCTCAAGATAACTGCCCTGAGCAGCAAACAAGATCATGCGGGACAGTAAAAACAAAGCGATCTCACATCTTTCCCAGCGCAAATCTGGAGGGCGTGCGTCATGATCGCCTCCGTGATCCGTCTCTGGTGCGCCTCGATTGCCGCCGTGAAGGCTGGCACCTCGATGTAATCTGAAGATGGAAACTCCAATCAGAGAACCAGAATCGGAGGACACGAGTGGAAGGTTCGGGATCGAAGAGGATGAGGAGGAGTCAGGCTTTGGCAACAGACCGGGGCCGCCGAAGGGGACGGATCCGGGGTTCAGGCCGGCGGCGATGGAGGGCGGAGACTGGACGTGGAGGACGACGAGCGCACCGGCCTCCTCCGCGGCTCCGTCGGCGCCCTCGCCGGCGGGACGGAGGCGGAGGTTATCGATGGCCCAGCGGAGGCCATTCATACTCTCCTCGCTGCCGTCGACCGCCACCACCACGCAGCCGAGGTTGCCGGTCGCCATCTCCGACGCGAAAGAGCGGATGGAGAGAAGAGAGAAGAGCCGTGACGGCGATCACATTGTATCTTCTTTTAAGGCATTAATAATTCGAATTGTTCTGGACGTCCATTCCACCTCAAGATGCGTGCAGACACTTGATCCGAAGAACCCATGCCACCATATGATCAAGGTTTATAACTTCCTTCTAAAATTCTTCACACATAAAAATAAGATTAATCAATAATTATCATTAAAATCAACTAATAGTTTGAAATTTTTAAATGAAAAAAACAAAATATAAAATATGTAAAACATCCATTATGGATCTGAAAATAATAAGGCGATTTAGTTTGTAAATACTCATATTTTGAGTATTTTCCAAAAGTATCATTTTTTTTTCAATAATACTCTCTAATGTGAAAATATTTAAAATATCCTTTATTTAAAAAAAAATATATTCTTTTTTTAAATATATTTTCAGCTGTTACATATTTTCATTTAGCTCGTTGTTTTTCAATAGCATTTATAATAATTTTATGTATTAAAAATACTATAAATATTATTGAAAAGTACTATAAGTGATATCATATCATGTAATTTTGATTATCATTATTTATAGATTATTATAATATTATATTTTTACACTTCTAATTAATTTGGTTAAGGCTAGAAATCTATTTAGATTATTTACGATATTTTTAAATATATTTTATAGCATTTTTATTGTAGTAGTAAAAATACTATAATAGATTAAAAAAATACCGTAACAAGCGATAAAATTTTTAAAGAGTAATTTTGATTTTTTTTAAATTAAGGGTACAATTGGAGAAAAAAAATAAAATAAAGAATATAGATTGAAAAATACCCGAAAACATAAATTTTTTTTTTTTAAGTATCCAAAAGAGTACGATAGGATATTATTATTTATAAGGGCTTACACCAAGTCATTAAAATAATATGTCTAAAAAAAATATAAGAATTTAAATTAAATAATAAACACTTTCTGAGATTGATTTTCAACGAACGAATATTTTATAAAATCGATAATTTTTTCTGCTGTACTAATTCACCCCCCTCTTAGTGTCACTCTTGATCTTAATAATATGGTGAGAGTTTAATCACATGAACTTTCATTTTACACATTAGAAACTAATTCTTAATACAAATGTGTTGTTGATATCATATTATTAAGATAAGGGGAATGTGCCACATACAAAGAGGCATTGATTATTAATACATTTGGGTTGGACCTGTGTTTATTTGACATTGGATTTGGGCTTGAACCCTCAGTTAGAGTTTAGATCCATTAGGATTTGGGTAGGGAGGTTGGAAAATTGTATTTGGGTTTTGGAATTTGCTTCCACTAGGATGAATCTAAATAAGCTTTCTTTAGATGATCAAAATGGTTCAAGATTCAACAAGTTGACTATATTATATTTATTTGATCTGCTTAAATGTAGAGGGTAAGTTTACTATAACTTTCTCTTTTTTTTTGTCACTAAGAATATAAAAATAGGATTATATAAGTCGATATTTTCTAAATCTTATATGGGTAGTAGTTTGGGACATTAGATTTATCTTTTTAATATGCTTAAATTAGATTATGATTCTAATAATATCAAATTTTGATCATTAATTTGATTTGATAAAATTGATTCGTTCTTATCCATGAATATTTTTTCGAGGATATAACTTGTGTGTTATGTCTCTTGTTATATTTCAATTTGAAAGCGAAAGATGTCGTTATTCTCTTTTCCAAATAATACAAAAAAAATATGTCTTTTATATGCTGATGTATATTGCCTAATAATTTTTTTATCATCTTTGATAATTATTGTGGCAACCCGATAAAAAATAATGATCATATCAGATATCATGAAATTTTCTTTGTAATTTTTGAGTCAGTTGGGGCATGATGAAATTTACATGTCCTCCTTCTGATCTTACTAAGCTTTAGAATTGTTTCAAATATATTCAAACAACATCATCAGAAGACCCACAACAAAGAACATTGTGTCACAGAAAACCCACTCATTGAGTTGCAATCCTCAAGAGGGCCTTAGTCTTCAGGATCATGCCAGCGCACCCACCACACCAACTCACTTTGATCATGTCAATTGTCCTTTCAGAAATGTGATGTGGTTGAGCTAAAAACAACAACAAAAAATACAAAAACCACATGAACTTGTTTGTTCTAATTGGAAGTGCAGTTTGTTGCTAAGAGAAATCTTGGCAAGGTAGTCTTGATGATTGATCAATTCAAAACACTATTTTGTATTGTTTTTTGTGTTGCTCAGTGTCATCAATTTTAATCTAGTTTGTCATAAATTTTGCTTCTTTTTTTCTGTGTGGAGATACAACATGATTCAGAAGCTTATTCCTTCACAGATATTTCAGAGATTGTCTATGTTTTAGCTTATAGTACCATATAAAATTCTGGAATTGCTAATGAAATTTTCAATTCACTATGAACATGATCATAAGCAAGTTGTCTTTTTCAAATTGGAAATTATAAGGCATCAAGGATGAAAAGAATATCTTGTCATCTTTAATCTGTCATGCATCAACCATTGAATGATTGATTGTGAACCAAACCAACAAATCTCAATCATTTGACAGTATTTTACCTCAGGAAATATGTTTTTTGATGCATAAGTCTGACCACTAAATTCCTGACACTGAATTGGCATGGAAAGGATCAGACTGGTTCTCTTTCTTCAAAGGGTGAAAAAAAAAACACAAATATATGTCTCATTTTATATCTCAGATTTGTCTATGATGATACCATAATATGAATAAGCTAGTTATTTCATCGGATCTAACCTAATATTGATTACGATGAATGATCCGAGTAAAAAAAGATTACTCTCATAAGACTAGAGATAAGGTTAAGATTTTAAAATTATTATTGGGTTGAACTTCATGTGCATCATATTAGAACTTAATTTTAATGCTCTAATTTAGAAATGAAACAATGATTGAATGTATTTAAAAAGGGAATCATAATATTTTATTTATGTTTCTATGGTTGCTGTCACAAAGATAATGGTGTTGGATGATAACCAAACACCTATAAGAACTTATCCCATTTCATGGTGGTACAAATGGTGCATGTGCATTTGCCTGCCTTTGATGTCAACAAAAATGAGAGTCAAGATAAGTAGTACATCACTGGTGTTGCAATAATGGGCTGTCTAATTCACAGATAGATGGTGGCCATTACCAACCATCAATGAAGACCTTGTCCTTATGTGAACATGTAGAACTCATGCCTCAGCTGTTAGCTATTATAGCAGATATATATCTGCTATAATAATATTTTTCTGCTTTGCAAGAATAAATACCCTCTTAGGAGTAAGATTTGTGAGATCACATGTCCTTGTAGATTATTCCTTTCTAGTTATCATATATCATCTGTTATAAGATGAGATCTTTAACTATTTAAGATCATCTACATCAATAAATATATTATTATTATTATTATTATTATTGGTCTAAGTAAAGTGGATAAGATTCTAAACTTAATTTTCTTCCTTAATTTTTATATCAAATAATTATTATCTATAATATGATGATAGAATACGAAAAAAGAAGAAGAAGAATAATAATGTAACCTAAAGCGATCCGAATTAAACACAAGAGAGAATACATTCACAATAGTTAAGGGAGAATGAGGCCTAACAATGTGGTTTTGATGTGGATAGAACTAATCGCGACGAGGCAGAGAAGAGGAGAAAAAAGAAAGAAAAAAAACTATATGCATACGAGAAAGAAAATTGTAGGAAAATGAGGAAAAAAACCCCAAAAAATAATCTATTCATTATTTAGTTAATATATTTTTTGAAAATACAATTCAATATATGAATTAAAGCTCGACACTGATTAGTTCGATCCTAATAAACATAAAAATCTTTTCTTATATATTTAATTATAATTATAATAAGCTAAATCAACAGAGGGTATCAGAAAAGCAAAAAAAACAACTATATATATTGTCATCTAAAGAAATCCATTCTTGAATTCGATTAACTCGAAGCATATACAGCAGTAGGGGAAGTCAATTCCAACACAACCTTTTGCACTTGCGGATCCCTATCACTCATCACCTAAATGGGCCCCACACCAACTTTTGATCACATAATTCGAGTTCATGCGATAATGCATCGTTCTCTCACTGAGAGTATATGACAGGTAGATATTTGGGCGAGTAATGGGATCGGATTTGAGTTTGGTCATTTTGTCATATCACCACTGCCTTTGCCTTCTTCTGTGCGTGCTGGAAAGAGCTTAATTCGCACGTTCTTTTTTGTCTGAGGGCAACGAGGCATGAAGTCAATTCAGCACTTACACCACATTCGTTGCAAATGTCACCTCCATGCTCATCTTCTTACTGCCTTTTCTCGATAAATGGTACATATTTTTCACTATATATATCTAGAGAGAGAGAGAGAGAGAGAGAGAGAGAGAGTATTAACAAAGTCAGTTTACATGCACGCAGGAAACGAGGCTATATATACAGAGATATATATTAGAGAGTTTGATAAAGAACATTAACAAAGTCAAATTACATGCGTTTTCCACATGCAAAAGGAAAAGGAGAGGAAATGGTATTGTCCTTGGACACATTCCAAGAACTTTCTTCTCCTCTTCGATTCATCCGACCCAAACTTATCATCTTTACTTTTGGATTCTTTTGTGTAAAGAACTGAACAGCTACATTATTTTGCGGCTGACGCACGTGTTTTTGCTGTTTTGCATGCATTCATTCATTACTGTTGGGCTGCCAGTCTTCTTCTTCTTTTCTTCTTCCTCCTCCTCCTCCTCTATTTAATGACACCCATGCGAGAGAACTGATGAATGTGTAGGGCAACAAACACAGCCTTTCTTCGATCCGGTTCTTTGTTCTCAGCTCCCTGCTTGCCCGCTCCTCTTTCTTCTCCCACACCTTTCAGATCCAAACACCAATGGCCGAGACCCAAACAAGCGGCCGCCATCATCACAGGCACAACGCGCATCACCTGCACAGGCCGCCGCCCTGTAAGGGGAAGCTGATCACGGTGCTGAGCATAGATGGAGGAGGTGTGAGAGGCATCAT